ACTCATACTGCTGAAAATTCATTGGCCCCGTTGTATAATTATAATCGGAGTTATCCCACCATTCTTGATCATACCCGTTTGGATTAGGGTTATACCACGTTTGAGACCAGGGTGAAAAATCTCCATAATTATTGAGGGGGACACTCAGATTATCTTGATATTCGGGGCACATACCGGTTAAATGATCCCTGGCATAACAAATTTTACAGGTTGCAGCAGCCATTCTTTCTCTAATAGAGTTTAGTGCCTCTGAATATTCAAACTTAGCAAAAAAACTAGTCTCATCGCCTTCCCCGGAAACAAGATCCAGACTATCACCAAAATATGGAGTGTTAGAAGCCATAAACTATATAAAAAAAATATGAGAAAAATAAAAAAAAATAAAAAATAAAAACAAAATGAACTCAAAAAGAAACAAATTAATCTGACACCAGTCCCCGGCAACGGCGCCAAAAATTGACAGGTGCCGAACCTGTGCAATAATAATTACCTACTCAAGAAAAATACAGATTTTGTATATAGCGGTGAGTAGGGTCGAATCCACAGGGACTGGGGATAATTCGTTTCTTCTGGAGTCCAAAGTATGGGGGATTTTGGATTAAATGCTAACTAAATAAATTAACTGCAGAAAATAATTAATTAAAAGAAATAATTGGGGAAACTCTAGCCAAGGGTACACATCAGAAATGGTTCATGCAACTGATCATCGATTCAAATATAATTCCAACATTTATTAATAGATTAGTTATAGTTGTCATGCACGCGATAAACAACCAACCTTTCCTTACTTTTTCGATAGTTAAGGTACGACCGTTAACTATTTCTCTAACCCAAAAACAACCCTAGGTACGACCGTAGGATTTAATTTCTAGATTGCATTAATAATTAGAAAGGCCCAATCCTAACTAACAAACACGCTACGAGGGTTTGTTTAAGTTAGATCGTATGCTCCTCTGACATAAACCCAATTACGCCAGTTGCTACTGAGACAAAGATAACGAACAATTACGGATTCAATTATCCCTATTTAGCAAAATAGCCTATGTGAATAATTAAATATTGCGCATCTATTCAATCACTCACACGAGCTATAGCAATTAAAAGCAGGAAACATATAAATACCAATAAATTAAGGAAGCAATTAAAATCAATTAGATCTCACAGTAATTGTTGAACCAAATCTTCAGTTGTCCCCTTAACTAGAAAAGCTTAACCACGCCTCATGAGAAAATCTCCCCGTTGGGGAATATTGTCGAACACCTGGCGTGTGTCAGAGGCCAGTCTAAGGAAAGAAAGAAAAGAAACTAAAACTAAACTAAAACTAGAGATATCCCTCATACTCTACGTTATCCCTATTTAAGCAATAAAAGAAAGATGACTAAAGGCTATCTAGGTGGTCCCCACACATGTGGACAAAGCCTTCAAAGTACTTCTTGCCCCCAAGTCTCTTTCCGTAGCTTTCTTTTAAGAGTCCAAATGACTAGATGCCTTCCACTAGCTTGTGGTCCCCACCAATTCAAGAGCCCAAGCATTGAAACCCTTAGAAATCTCCATATTTTCCATAAAGTCCCTCCTTTTTGGTAGTTTTCTGCTTTATTCCTGAAATTAAGTCCAAATACCAAATATGAGTAAATATCAGCAATTAACACAATATTTGTCAGGGATAGAAGGGGAAATCAATAATAAAATTACTAACAAATTATACCCTATCACAGTCGCAGCAAAAAATCACTTCGCTTATTGATGTTATTCCTACTCAAAAGGTTATCTGTATCTTTTTATATCTTTCTCTTGCTTTGATTGTTTGGTGTATTATACAGATTATTCATCAGTCTGATGCATTCAAAATTTGAATGTGTCTTTTAAAAATATCTCAGCTCTCGTGGGTAAAAGCAAAGTTATCCTTTCAACACATCTTCCAAAAATACTATTACATGGCTTGTACCAAATGCCATCGCATGACATCGGCAAATTTTGCTACTACTTACACCTGCAACCACTGTGATGAAAAGCAGAAAGCTTCACCCAGGAAACTAATCTCACCTTTCAACTTTTTAATTCTATCAAAATATTCTTAATCTCTATATGAATTACCAAACTAATTAACTTTTATTCTTATCTAATGTAGATAAGACTGCTATAAGAAATTAAGATACCTTATTACTATTCTGTTTCCTTTTGCTATAGAATATAGAGTTGCCACTACAAAAGGTTCATGATGATCTTCAGTCAAAGATGTTCATTGTCCAGTTAAAGCCAGTAAATAGTAGAGATAGGGCATCTCACCAGCACTATACAATTGTCTACTATTTCGAAAGTGATGGCAACACATTGTCCCTCCAACAAGCCGAAGAAGTGGGAGCCCTGCCTAATTCCACAGAAACCGCTACCAATACTTTGCGAGCTTTAACACTAGGTCTTCTCGTTATTGTTGCATGTTGTCTCATGTCGAATCTTTATTGGGTATATTTACTGATGGTTTAGAGTTAATTGTTATTCAGATGAGTCTGGTTCTACATCAAAATTCAGAGTTTGCCTTGATACAAAATTCTCTCAGTTCGAAGAAGCACAAGTTGAAGAAATGCATGATAAACCAGGCGCCACAAAAAAAAACAAAACTTGTCTGATCGTACTATGTCTACTCTTTTCTTCTAAAACAATGCAGCCAGCTGATCGAGTGCCTTTATGCATGCTTTTGTTCTGAGTCAAGTATGTCTGCTCTTTTGTTTTGGGACCGTGCATTCAACAGGCGAAATAGTAGTGTCTGTACTTTTGTTTATTGCAGAACATCATTTCGCCAGAAATCTCTAAGCCTTTATTCTCTTATTTACAAGCACTTGGCTTTGTTTCCCTTAACTATTCTTTCTATTAACCCATATGCACTATCTTTTGTGTATGATGCCAAGTTCTCTCTAGTGGGGGAGAAGACTGTACGCATAAAAATATTCAGTTCGGTCCTAATTGTTGCAAAGGAGACCACTTTTTAATCTTTGGCTATTTCTTACATGCTGACGCACCTTCCAGTTAATATTTTTCTGGTCTCCCACTGCAAATATGTAACAGCTCAGCATGATACCATGATAGCTACCAGTTATTTCTCAGCCTATATACTGTCAGCCCATTTATTACAGGCAAAACAGTTCTATTGCTTAATGCACAGCTCTGTTTCGAAGAAGCCTATATTTCACTTCTTTCATCTTTACTGTTTCTAGCGGTTCTCTTACCTTTGCATTTAATTGGTTTACCTAACATTTCACCACCTTTTTATACATGCTCTGGAACAACGCTTCCATTTATACTCTTGCCGAAAAACCTTTCTTTTTCCCTTTGCTCCAAGTTGCCCAAAAAACCAACCAAGCAAAAGGGTACGTCTCCTTCTACATTACGTTAAACATCTACCTATCTCTTGGCCATTGATCTGCTGAGGATAGAAATGAATCGACCAAAAAATCCTTTCAAAAAATGGGAATCAGTTCAGCTAAAGACCAAAATACGATTTTACCTTTGCACATTTGATCGTAGAAGGATTCATGTAGCCACTGCTGCACAAAGAGGCTTAGGAAACATGGTATACTATCCAAAAAATGACTTCCTTGAAGCTTATCCTATGATCCTTCAAGCGCTGGGTGAACCATGTTTATATTCGCTTGAATCAGTTCATCAGTGGTTACAAAATATCACCCACATCTCTTCATCAGCATTTGCAAAAACAGGTAGAATTTTTCTTTTAAATAATATTTTTGTTGGACCATTTATCCACTCCTCCGTAATCTAATATACTTAATCTTTATATTTTGCTTCTAGAAACAACTAAAAGCTATAGAATTTCCGATGGACAACAATGGTGTTATGTACTGTTCTTGCACAAACATTGAAAGCCAGGTAGCTTGTCTACTTATTTATTGTTTTTCTTTTATTTTCCAGTTTATCCAATCTGTCTTTTTGCTTCTCCAGGAAATACCTGATGATATTTTTGAATCCAACCATTTTCAGCATGGATAGACTATAGTTGTTCAGCATGGCTTAGCTCGGTGGAACTTAAAAATCATGAACCGTCATTTTGAAGGAGAATGGGCGGCTTTTTGCTCAGATAACTACATTGCCAAGAATGATATGATATTTTTGAGAAATAGAGGGACTTTAATATATGACGTGTTTGCTTTTGGGTTTCATCAGAGGCTTGTTTACATGCGCTGGACATTACACCTTCCAATGATCTCTTCTAAATTATCCACTTCAGAAGGAAATTTATTTAGTCCCCTACTACATCTTTCTCTTTCAAAAATATACACATTCTCACGTGTTCTTTTTTCTATTACAGGTCTTGCTGGTAACCAATCAAATTTGAAATTAATCACATCATCAATCAATCGCTTTTTTGCGCATGATTTAATGGCATTAGATACCTTCTATCAAATCTTTTCCTCCGAATTCAAGTACTCCATGATATATATATATATACATGTATACTTAAATATTTCTCAATATACGCTTCCTATTTGGTTAAAATTATAAGTTATTAATTCTTACAGTTTTTTTGTTTTGGTAGAACATTCCCCGCTATGTAACTTCCAAATTACATGAATCCAAGACACCATCTATAGTCTTGACAAGCGAAAACAAGATTTACAACATTGGAATGACAAAAAATAGATTTCATCAAAACTGGAACACTTTTGTTGTTGAATAGACTTTCTTTTGTGCCAAAGGGAGTTAGAATGTGCTTTGGTTCACTGGTGGTATATCCCTATATACACATGGATAGGCTCTGTAGTCGGGCTTAAGCCAGTTTCACCGAGGGTTTAAGCGGGAACGAGCAGAGTCTGATTAGGATTCTGCGGGAACTGCGGCTCCCTATTAAGAGCATTGTGTAGTGCCCTTAAAGCCTTAGCCATTTAAACCGCTGGAAAGCCTCTCCTCCCGCCACTACTCCTCAACGTTGGCAGATTCACTGGCCTCCTGCCGACACCACCCCTTGACAAATTCACTGGCCACCATCACCACCTCTTGAACCCGCCATTACAAAGTACAACAATAGCTGCCTTTGTCTCTTAATCTGAAAGGTATAATTTTTTTTGGTCTGACTTGCTAGTTTGTGATGAAACCTTTTGGTAGAGGTTTTTTTTTTTAAATTTAATTTAAATGAGTCCGTTTCCATGTTTTAGTTTTTAGATTATACTATTTACAGAGGTTTGATCAAAATTTTGATGGTTCCAAGATTTGTTTTTTTGATGGTTGTTACCTCGCCCCCGCTGAATAGTTGTGCATTCTTTTGCTCATGCATGTTTATTTATCTCATTTGTTGCAGATTGAGTTCATGGCTGCTTCTGCTTGGGATATTACAGCATCAGAGTTTCTGCACGTATGCATTTTCTTCATATTTCTTTCTTTTTACTTTTTCCAATGGTGAAATACTTATTTTATTATGTGAGAGTACTTGGAAAATGGACGGTATTGATTGTTTTTCGGTTTTTGTCTGATCACTATTACAGGGTTCGTGTAGGCAAAAATTAATCTTGCCTAGACATCCACCAAGGTGGACGAATCGATTGCTTTGGGGTACAGTCCAAGGAAAGAGTCATTTGAGAAAAAATTATGACAAGGGTATTAGGTTAAGATCCCATTTGCCAGTAAAGGTTAGAGCTGTGGTTTCAGGAAATGTTGGTAGTTCAGTTGATGAAAAACTAAGTGAGGTTCAGGGGATAGGACACGAAAAGGTTTTTCATTTTTATCGTGTACCTTTGATTCAAGAGAGTGCCACATGTGAGCTTCTGAAAACGATTCATACCAAAATATCAAACCAAATAATTGGATTGAAAACTGAACACTGTTTCAATATCGGGCTCGATTCCAGTCTTTCTAGTGAGAAGCTCTCAGTGCTTCAATGGGTGTTAGGAGAAACATATGAGCCTGAAAATCTGGGGACTCAAAGTTTTCTTGATAAAGAGGTGAAGAATAGCTCTAATGCAATCTTAGTTGAAGTTGGACCTAGGCTGTCCTTTACTACAGCATGGTCGGCAAATGCTGTGTCAATCTGCCGAGCTTGTGGGTTGACAGAGATAAATAGAATGGAGCGATCGAGGAGGTACTTGTTGCATGTTAAGCCTGGTAGCGGTTCTCTGCTGGACGGTCAAATTAATGAGTTTGCTGCAATGGTGCATGATCGGATGACTGAATGTGTTTATGCACAAAAGCTTACTTCCTTTGAGACAAATGTAGTTCCAGAGGAGGTCAGACATATACCAGTCATGGAGAAAGGAAGGGAGGCATTGGAGGAAATCAACGAGCAAATGGGTTTGGCATTTGATGAACAAGATCTACAATACTACACCAAGCTTTTCAGGCATGATACTAAGAGGAACCCAACCAATGTTGAGCTGTTTGATATTGCACAGTCCAACAGCGAACACAGCAGGCATTGGTTTTTTACTGGGAAAATTGTTATAGATGGTAAACCAATGGACAGGACTCTCATGCAGATTGTCAAGAGTACTTTGCAGGCAAACCCTAACAATTCCGTCATTGGCTTCAAGGATAACTCTAGTGCAATCCAAGGGTTTCCTGTGAAACAGTTGCAGCCAGTTCAACCTGGTTCCACATGCTCCTTAAACATGAGCAAACATGACCTTGATATCTTGTTTACTGCTGAGACCCATAATTTTCCTTGTGCTGTGGCACCATATCCCGGGGCTGAAACTGGAGCTGGAGGACGCATTAGGGACACCCATGCAACCGGGAGGGGTTCTTTTGTTGTCGCATCTACTGCTGGATACTGTGTTGGAAATCTCAATATTGAAGGGTCATATGCCCCATGGGAAGATCCATCATTCACTTACCCACTTAACTTGGCTTCTCCATTGCAGATTCTCATTGATGCTAGTAATGGTGCATCAGACTATGGGAATAAATTTGGGGAACCCTTAATTCAAGGTTACACGAGGACTTTTGGAATGAGACTCCCAAGTGGGGAAAGGCGTGAATGGTTGAAGCCAATTATGTTCAGCGGAGGTATTGGGCAAATGGATCACATCCACATTACAAAGGGTGAGCCTGAAGTTGGCATGTTAGTTGTCAAGATTGGAGGCCCAGCATATCGTATAGGAATGGGAGGGGGTGCTGCATCCAGCATGGTCAGCGGTCAGAATGACGCTGAACTTGACTTCAATGCTGTACAACGTGGAGATGCAGAGATGGCTCAGAAGTTATATCGTGTGGTCCGTGCATGCATCGAGATGGGAGAGAAGAACCCCATCATAAGTATCCATGATCAGGGCGCTGGTGGAAACTGTAATGTTGTCAAGGAAATAATATATCCAAAGGGTGCTAAAATTGATATAAGAGCAATTGTAGTTGGAGATAACACCATGTCTGTCTTGGAAATTTGGGGTGCAGAGTATCAGGAGCAAGATGCAATATTGGTGAAGCCTGAAAGCCGCAGCCTGCTGCAGGCTATCTGTGAAAGGGAAAGAGTCTCTATGGCTGTTATTGGAACAATTAGTGGGGAGGGATGTGTTGTCTTAATTGACAGTTTGGCTGTTGACAGATGCATTTCAAAGGGATTGCCGCCTCCACCACCAGCTGAGGACCTTGAACTTGAAAAAGTGCTTGGTGATATGCCACAGAAAACCTTTGAGTTCCATCGCACAGTTAATGTGCGCGAGCCACTTGATATTGCACCAGGGATAACCTTAAAGGATTCTCTGAAGAGAGTGTTAAGGCTGCCCTCGGTATGTTCAAAACGATTCTTGACTACAAAAGTTGATAGGTGTGTCACAGGTCTTGTGGCACAGCAGCAAACTGTAGGCCCCCTGCAAATTACACTTTCTGATGTTGCTGTTATCGCTCAAAGCTACACTGACTTGACAGGAGGTGCATGCTCAATTGGGGAGCAACCAATCAAAGGGCTTTTGGATCCAAAGGCAATGGCGCGACTGGCAGTTGGAGAAGCACTTACTAATCTAGTTTGGGCAAAGGTCACTTCCCTCGCTGATGTCAAAGCAAGTGGAAATTGGATGTATGCTGCTAAAATGGATGGGGAAGGAGCAGCAATGTATGATGCTGCTTTGGCTCTTTCAGAGGCTATGATTGAACTTGGTATTGCAATTGATGGGGGAAAAGATAGTCTCTCAATGGCAGCCCATACATCAGGGGAAGTTGTCAAGGCTCCTGGAAATCTTGTAATCAGCACCTATGTAACTTGTCCAGATATAACAAAAACAGTGACCCCAGATTTAAAACTCGGAGACAACGGCATACTGCTTCATATCGACTTGGCAAAAGGGAAGCGGCGTCTTGGCGGATCTGCTCTTGCTCAAGTTTTTGATCAGGTTGGGAATGAGTGTCCTGACCTTGACGATGTTCCTTACCTCAAAACTGTTGCGGAAGCCCTACCAAAGTTAAGGTATAACGAGTAAATTATTGTACCTAAAATTGCAAAATGGTAATTCCCAGGAAATATTTGGTGAGGCACACTGGCCTGCTTAAGTACCAATTTCCTAGACAGAATCACCTATATATGCACTTAATTGCACAATAACTCACTACAAATATACCTACAAATATAGCTACTAAATAGACAATAAAATAGAACACCAGAATTTAACGAGGTTCGGCTAATTTGCCTACGTCCTCGGACACTACCGACAATTTAATATTTCACTAGAAGAAATATTACAAAGAGAGAGAAGAAAGCAAGTTATTGGCTCTTGCTTGGTGTACTTGAATTGGTTTGTTTGAGAGCTATTTATAGTTCTCAAACAACCTCTCAAATGTTAAACTTAACCGATGTGGGATTTAGAAACTTAGGCCAAAGAATTCAAAGTCCTCAATTTTGGCTTGAAAAAGTCATCAATTGAGGCTTGGCTTTGAATTCAACAAATCTCCACCTTGGCATAATTTCTAATCCCACCAAAAATACAAATTTTTTTTCCCTCAAATTCGGTGGTGTCTTCAAATGCGTTGTCAAGCGCCAATCTTCAAGTCGTGCACAACATTTATCAAATTCAAACAATGTTGGAATTTGATAGTTGTCACAACCTTCGTAAGCATATCAGCAGGATTCTCCTTGGTCTGAATCTTTTGAAGTAGTATCGTACTATCTTCCAAAATCTTCCTCACAAAATGATACCGTACGTCGATATGCTTCGTCCTTGCATGATAAACTTGGTTCTTTGCTAAATGAATAGCACTCTGACTATCACAATGAACTTTGATAGACTTCTGTCCAATTTCCAATTCATCAAGCAATCCATGAAGCCAAATTGCTTCCTTAACAGCTTCCGTAACTGCCATATACTCCGCCTCTGTAGTAGACAAAGCAACTGTTGACTGTAAGGTAGACCTCCAACTGACTGGTGCCTTAGCAAGTGTAAAAACATACCCAGTCGTTGATCGACGTGTATCTTGATCTCCTGCGTAGTCGGAATCACAATATCCAACTACGCCTTGACCAATCTTCTCATCCCGCTCAAATACTAATCCAACATCTACGGTGTTCAAAATATACCGTAAAATCCATTTCACAGCTTGCCAATGCTCCTTGCCAGGATCATGCATGTACCTGCTCACAACTCCAACTGCTTGTGAAATGTCGGGCCTTGTACACACCATAGCATACATCAAGCTACCCACCGCATTTGCATACGGTACCTTTGCCATATATTCTCGTTCTGCATCATTCTTTGGAGATAACGATGCACTAAACTTGAAATGAGGAGCAAGTGGAGTACTAACAGGTTTAGTCTTTTCATTCATACCAAACCTCTTTAATACTTTACTAAGATACTCTTTCTGTGTCAAATAAAGCCTCCCCAATCTTCTATCTCTACTTATCTCCATGCCGAGAATTTTCTTGTCTTCGCCGAGATCCTTCATTTCAAACTCCCGACTCAAATGAGATTTCAATTTTTCAATCTCACCTTGATCCTTGGAAGCTATCAACATATCATCAACATAAAGAAGAAGATATATGTAGGATCCATCTCGTAGCTTGCGCAAATATACACAATCATCATATTTGCTTCTTGTGTACCTTTGCCCCATCATAAACTTGTCAAATCGCTTATACCACTGTCTTGGAGATTGCTTCAATCCATACAACGATTTGTCAAGCTTGCATACCATCTTTTCTTTACCAGCAACTTTGAATCCTTCTGGCTGAGTCATGTAGATTTCCTCTTCCAAGTCACCATGTAAAAACGCAGTTTTTACATCTAATTGGACAAGTTCCAGATCCAATTGTGCTACCAAAGCCAATAAAATTCTGATGGAGGAATGTTTCACGACTGGAGAAAACACTTCGTTGTAATCAATTCCCTCCTTCTGAGCGTAGCCTTTAGCCACCAATCTTGCTTTGTAGCGAACACCAGACTTGTCAGGAAATCCTTCCTTCTTTGCATATACCCACTTGCATCCGATTGCCTTCTTTCCCTTTGGAAGACTGGTTAGCCTCCATGTTTGATTCTTATGAAGGGAATGTACTTCTTCATCCATTGCAATCCTCCACTTTTCTTTATCCGAACTTTGAGCTGCTTCATTGAAAGTGGCAGGAATATCAACATTTATGGTTGGGGATGCATAGGCCACTATATCAGCAAAACGAGCAGGTTTTCTGATTGTCCTCTTTGGCCTACTGGTTGCAATTGATTCATGTTGCTGTGAAAGTTCTTCAACTGGAACATTTTCTTCAGTTGATTCTTCTTCTACCATAGGAGTCCTTTCATCTACTCCGATATCCACTGCTGGTCTGATAATGCTTCTTTCAAACTCCATCTGCTTAGGAGTGCTCTCCACCTGTTGGGGAGTACTATCATTCTGCTGTACATCTACCTTTGTTAACATGGTAGATTCATCAAAGGTGACATCCCTGCTGAAAACTATCTTTTTCGTTTCGGGACACCAAAGGCGATAACCTTTAATGCCTGTTGTGATCCCCATAAAGAGCGCCTTCTTCGCCCTTGGATCCAACTTTGATTCTTTAACATGATAATATGCAGTAGAACCAAACACATGTAAGGAATCATAATCTGTAGCAGGTTTTCCCGACCATTTCTCTAATGGCGTTTTGCCGCCAATAGCAGTTGATGGTAAGCGATTAACGAGGTGATTTGCATATGCTAAAGCCTCAGCCCAAAATTGTCTGCCCAACTCAGCATTGGACAACATACACCGAACTTTCTCCACCAATGTCCGGTTCATACGCTCTGCCACCCCGTTTTGCTGTGGTGTATCTCTGACTGTGAAGTGCCGAACAATGCCTTCATTTTCACAGACCTCCATGAACGGATCACTAGTGTATTCACCTCCGTTGTCTGTTCGAAGGCGTTTGATCTTTCTTTCTGTTTGAGTTTCCACCATCTTTTTCCACTTGATGAAAATTCCCAATACTTCACTTTTCGCCTTCATAGTATACACCCATACTCTTCGAGAGAAGTCATCGACAAAGGTAACAAAATAATTCTTGCCTCCCAAAGAAGTTGTTTTGGAAGGTCCCCACACATCAGAGTGCACATAATCCAAAATACCCTTGGTATCGTGAATTGCAGTGCCAAATTTTACCCTTGTCTGCTTTCCTTTGACACAATGCTCGCAAAAATCTAACTTGCAAACACTGGCTCCTTTTAATAGTCCTTGATTCATCAGAAGATTCAAAGATTTTTCTCCGGCATGCCCTAAGCGCATATGCCATAATCTGGTTACTTTCAATTCTCGATCATCACTGGAAGCCACGGCCGCTACTCCAACAACTGCATTACCTTGATAGTAATACAAGTTATTATTTTTTCGGATTCCTTTCACCAGCACCAATGCACCTGAAATGATTTTCATCACTCCATTATATGCCGACACCTTGTAGCCCATTGATTCTAGTACTCCCACAGAAATGAGGTTCTTTTTCAATTCTGGCACATATCGGACATCAGTTAGAATCTTAATTGATCCATCCTGATTCCTTAGCCGAATTGAACCAACCCCATTTGTTGCTAATGTGGTCTCATCTGCCGTGTAGACGACTCCACCTTCTTTTTCCTTGAAATCAAAGAACCATTCTCTATTGGACGTCATATGATGGCTACAACCTGAGTCCAATAGCCATGTACTAGAATGACCAGTAGGCATGACAGCTAATGAAAAATCTGAGTTTTGATCAATGCACTCAGATACATTTGAATCCGCAACAGCTTTTTCTTTGTCAGGTCTACCCTTCAGTTTTGGGCAGTCCTTCTTCCAGTGCCCTTTCTCTCTGCAAAAGGCACACTCATCTTTACTTAGTCTGGCTCTTGACTTGGATCTTCTTCTCGTCCCCTTTCTCTGGTTTTGTGAGCGTCCTCTAGTTACCAGAGCTTCTGCTGCTCCATCTCTGCTATTTTGCTTGTCTTTTCTTCTGAGCTCATAGCTGTACAGGGCAGAGCTAACTTCACTGAGGGACACCTCAGCTTTCCCATGGAGTAGAGTTGTTTCAAGATGCTCAAACTCCTCAGGAAGAGATCCCAACAACATGAGAGCCAAATCTTCGTCTTCAAATGTCACATCTAAATTCATCATATCAGTGATTAACTGATTGAAATTAGTGATGTGATCACTTAGAGTTGTGCCAGGAACATAAGTGAAGCGAAATAAACGCTTCTTCTTGTTGAGCCTGTTCTGACAATTTTTCTTCAAGAACTTCTCCTCCAATCCAGTCCATAATTTATTTGCAGAGGTTTCTTTTGAGAACACATATTTTTGTTCCCTTGAAAGACACGATCGAATTGTACCACACGCTAAACGATTTAGCGTCCTCCATTCCTTCTCTTCAATCTCTTCTGGTTTCTCTTTTTCGATGGCAATGTCTAGACCTTGATTAAAGAGCGCGTCTAGAATCTCACTTTGCCACATGCCGAAATGACCGGTACCATCAAATGTCTCCACATTTAATTTTGTATTCGTCATAACATTTCTCGCCATAATAGATAATGACGAGCTTGTTGATGCTTGCATTGTAGATGAAGATCTACTTTCGGCCATCTCTACAAATTATATTTAGTAGCTCCTAAATGTAGAGTAACAATAGCCCAAGAAATCTTTTCTGATGTGGAAGATCAGACCATGCTGCAACCACAGAGCATACTAAGAAACCTCGAGCTCTGATACCAATTGTTGCGGAAGCCCTACCAAAGTTAAGGTATAACGAGTAAATTATTGTACCTAAAATTGCAAAATGGTAATTCCCAGGAAATATTTGGTGAGGCACACTGGCCTGCTTAAGTACCAATTTCCTAGACAGAATCACCTATATATGCACTTAATTGCACAATAACTCACTACAAATATACCTACAAATATAGCTACTAAATAGACAATAAAATAGAACACCAGAATTTAACGAGGTTCGGCTAATTTGCCTACGTCCTCGGACACTACCGACAATTTAATATTTCACTAGAAGAAATATTACAAAGAGAGAGAAGAAAGCAAGTTATTGGCTCTTGCTTGGTGTACTTGAATTGGTTTGTTTGAGAGCTATTTATAGTTCTCAAACAACCTCTCAAATGTTAAACTTAACCGATGTGGGATTTAGAAACTTAGGCCAAAGAATTCAAAGTCCTCAATTTTGGCTTGAAAAAGTCATCAATTGAGGCTTGGCTTTGAATTCAACAAAAACAGTATTCAATAAGGTTCAGGAGCTTCTTAGTGAGGATTTGATCTCTGCTGGTCATGATATCAGCGATGGAGGGTTGATTGTAAGTGCCCTTGAGATGGCATTTGCTGGGAACTGTGGAATTTCCTTGGACTTGACTTCGGTGGAGGGTAGTCCGTTCAAAACACTATTTGCAGAAGAGCTTGGACTACTCCTTGAGGTCAGCAAGAAACATCTGGACATGGTAATGGCAAAGCTATCTGATTTAGGCATTTCTGCTGGGATTATTGGAAGTGTAACTGTGTCACAGGTGGTTGATGTGAAGATTGATGGAGTTACTTTTTTGAATGAAGAAACTTCAGCACTGAGGGATATATGGGAAGAAACCAGCTTCCAACTTGAAAAGTTTCAAAGATTGGCTTCCTGTGTAGAATCAGAGAAAGATGGCCTGAAATATCGCCAGGTGCCTTCCTGGGACTTGTCATTCACTCCTACATATACTGATGAGAAATATATGACTTCCATTTCAAAACCAAAGGTAGCAGTTATAAGAGAGGAAGGCAGCAATGGGGACAGAGAAATGGCTGCAGCATTTTATGCTGCTGGCTTTGAACCGTGGGATATTACAATGTCCGACCTCCTTAGTGGAACCATCTCTTTGCACCCTTTCAGGGGGATTGTGTTCGTTGGAGGTTTTAGTTATGCTGATGTCCTTGATTCAGCAAAGGGTTGGGCTGCATCTATTCGATTTAATAGGCCTCTTTTGGATCAATTTCAAGAGTTCTATGAACGACCAGACACCTTCAGTCTTGGAGTTTGCAATGGCTGCCAGCTTATGGCTTTGTTGGGCTGGGTCCCTGGCCCCAGGGTTGGAGGTGTTATGGGGGTTAATGGGGACCCTTCACAGCCAAGGTTCATCCACAATGAGTCTAGGAGGTTTGAGTGCCGCTTCACAAGTGTGAGGATAGAAGAATCACCTGCTATGATGTTTAAAGGAATGGAGGGTAGCACATTGGGTGTATGGGCTGCTCATGGTGAGGGAAGAGCTTTTTTCCCTGATGAAGGTGTGTGGAACTCTGTTCTCAACTCAAAGTTGGCCCCAGTGAGGTATTGTGATGATGATGGGAAACCGACAGAAGTGTACCCTTTCAATCTGAATGGGTCGCCCCTGGGTGTTGCAGCAATTTGCTCTCCAGATGGGAGGCATCTCGCCATGATGCCTCATCCAGAGCGCTGTTTTTTGATGTGGCAGTTCCCCTGGTATCCAAAGCACTGGAGTGTGGATAAGAAGGGGCCCAGCCCATGGTTGCAGATGTTCCAGAATGCCAGAGAATGGTGTTCATGAGGTCAGTTCTTACGACCAATTAGTGTGGCCATTTTTGTGTTAACATGGTACCGTAGGTGTGTTGATTCTGGTGGTAATATGCAAACAGTATATTGTTGATTTTTCTTTCAATGCGGCTGATTAGATTGAAGCTGTTGTCATTGTAGACTACTTTTCCGAAGTATGCACGAGAAGGGTGGCGTATAAGATTGGCCTTGCCTCGAAGGACAAGTTATCCATCTCCCATTAACAGATGCAGTCGCATATCATCTTTCACTTGGGAGCAACTCCATTTGTTTCTTTCTGAAATTTTGCTGGAAAGATGAGCCTTGTCATTAGATCAAGGATATTTTTCACTTTCATTCTTGTAATTCATAATCAAGTCTTTTATCGTAAATCTGATACGTTGTGTAGTTTGGTGCAGGCCATGATGGCAGGGACTTCAACTTGTACTGTAACTTAGTGCTGGTGTTGTCTTGAAGAGGTTAATTGTCATTTTACGCGTATTGTGAAATTATGGCCTGCTACTAATTTGATTAGATATGGTGGGGTGACTTAAGACGTGCCCCTTTGACCCTTATCCTCTATTTGTTTGGCCTTGATTTCCCGATGATTCCTGAGCTGGATCTTATCTGTTCAAATTTTCTTGAACTTTTCTTGTCAAGATCTATAATGTGAAGAAACCTGAATGCCCTTCGGTTTCAACCGATGCATGAAGTTTCTGTATGAGGAACTCAGTTGAGGGACTTTGGCTATTTAAGGCCACCAGTTGGATTGGATATTAGTTTTAGCCCTGTGGCCAGTGTCTGGAACCAGATTCACATGTTTTCCAGGTCAAGAATCAAACATATCATCGTAGCAGGTTGAGATGTCTCAAAGTGGATTTTCTTGATTAACTGCACTAATTATGGGCTGATGAATTGCATGTTGTTTCATCCTCATTGCCGCCCTTGTTATTGAAGGCCTGTCCTTGTTCCATTAAGCAAAGCCTACTAAAGCAGCAGATTGAAGAATCAGTTCCTGCACTTAACCAAAACTTGAAAACTTATTGCCTGTCAAGAAGACAATTGAAAACTTGAAAAAGGATGATTAATCTATGGGCTGTAGCCGGTTTTGCTTGTGCATGTAGCCTTACAATTCCAACAGAAAACTTATTTCTGAACTTTTAAAACACTTATTATCCATGTAGAGATTCTTGTACCTGTCTTGAATGCTATCCAAGCAAGGATATTAATAAGTGACGGATGAAACAAGTACCCCTTGTTCTATGTAAAAAACTGGTCATTCATCCATTTGATATATGCATTTTTTCTTAACTGTATAGAGATTCCTATACATTCTTGAGGGATGTACAAATTAGAGTTTATCTACAACTCGGTTTTTTTTTTTTTCTTTTCTCCCATGCAGTGATTAGTTTTTTTAAAAGAAAAAAAAGTATAAAAGGAATTTTAAATAAATTTTCTTACTGGATGATAAGGACTGGCTATTTAGACGTAAAGTTCTAAAATTTAACAAACCCGAGCAATCAGCACCAGTGGTCTAGTGGTAGAATAGTACCCTGCCACGGTACAGACCCGGGTTCGATTCCCGGCTGGTGCATCTGTCTTTTTGACGTCAACACCTTCGTTCCATACATAGCCAGAGATGATTTCCAGCTGAGGCACATACTTGCAAGTAAACGTATAAAATTAAACTGCCTTTTATAGATCATGGAAATGGATCCTTTAGCTGAGACTATGAGAAACTCACTCTATTCTGGATTGAATCAGATCATGTTACATCTATTTTGATATATCAAATGGTCATATTTGACCATCAATTTTCCCCAAGGACAAAATTCATCTTGGTGCATGTTTTTCGCCCGGGTTCGATTCCCGGCTGGTGCATCTGTCTTTTTGACGTCAACACCTTCGTTCCATACATAGCCAGAGATGATTTCCAGCTGAGGCACATACTTGCAAGTAAACGTATAAAATTAAACTGCCTTTTATAGATCATGGAAATGGATCCTTTAGCTGAGACTATGAGAAACTCACTCTATTCTGGATTGAATCAGATCATGTTACATCTATTTTGATATATCAAATGGTCATATTTGACCATCAATTTTCCCCAAGGACAAAATTCATCTTGGTGCATGTTTTTCGCCGAATCAACTCACTTAGCAATTAGCTCAATGACCATGTCTAATGGCCAGTTTAGTTTAGCAATCCCCAATACCAAATCTCTCAACTGATTATGCTTTCATGTCTTCAGGTTCAATCTTACTGTGCAGTCTTGAACCCTCTGGAAGGCCTAAAGGAGGATTTGGGCATGACAAATTATCCACATTGGAGAGCTCCCATTCTTTGATATCACATCTATCTAATGCTGAAAACAGCCTTTGTCTCTGTGTCTCATCTGGATACATGCCATCCGGGCTAACAAGGACGGCACCAGTATATGATTGTCCTGCAACTCGAGCAGCTCCATGGTAATGGAATAAACCCCAGCTAAAATCATCAGAGACGTCCACGATTGTCCAGAACTCATTTGAAACCACTCCATTGTCCAAGACACTGAAGTGAAATGTTGCTGGAACTTTTCCTCTTCTAACTCGGTATTTTCGCCTTCTCCAGACCAAATCCCCCTCAAGTGTCCTTACTTGAAATATTGGCTCAAACCAGAATGATCCTCTAGCCTTTCCTCTATAAAACAGTTGGTACTGGCATGGAAACTGATCATAGGCTGGGTTCTGTCCTGCTATGACTCGCCAACTCCAGTCCAATTTCCCCAACCAAGCCACAAAAAGATCCTCAGCTGTTTCATGAGATAGATTGTCCCCTCGGAACTTTATCATTGGAGGCACAGAAGGTTTTTCAGGGATCTTGGCATCCAATTCCAAACAGTTATTCTTCTGCAACACGCAGAGAGAAAATTCTTCTAGACATGGACTCTCATATGAAGCAATACATCTATAGTTGCATACCTGGTCCACAGGACTGCACTTATTCAAGCATTGGAGAGCTTTTCTGCAGTTGGGATCCAATAAACAGTTTAGTATCTGAGGGCCACAATTTTTTACCATGCAGTTTAAGGTGGAGAAACCTTTTGCTCTTAGATTCTTCAATATTGGGACTGGTCTTATGTAAGCATTAATTACAACTAACAAACAGAACCTGATATCATCTAAATTATGCCTGTCCCAAGCCTCAGATACAGTTTGGACTATTTTGGTTGATTCAGTTTTCTTTTTGATTGGGAAATTGCTGTCAATTTACTGAATATATAGCCATTGGATTTTGTTTCTAGAATTGATCCTCCAAGTTTGTACCTCAACATTGGAGAGGACTCAAAGCATAAGATGCTTGGGACGTTTACACTATTTGCTTGAACCCATTCAACAGATTCTTGATTAGTGACAGCAACAATCAGTAAAATATCTGCATTCCTTAATCCCTGATGAAGATTTTCCATGGTTTTATCAGTTGATTTGAGGAGTCCGTCACTAAATACCAGCATATCATACGCTTCATCAACCCATTTTAATCTTTTGGCCTGTCGAAGAGAAATAAGTGAAAAGGTCTACAACTGTGAGACAAGGAACCACAAGTTTTTGTAGGATATGATAGAGTCAAGGCTCTCTCATTTATGTCCAATACACACAGTTGACACGGGAATAAAGCTTCGATTGTCATAGTACCAAAAAATCATGGTAAAAGGAGAAAATGCAGCATGATAAGTTGACCACTACTATATCTGCTCATATATAGAGAAGGCTAATTAAGTCAATAGCTTGACTCTAGAACAAAATAATATCTCATGGCAAAGGCATGAAAGGATACATAAAAGTCAAAAACATAGGCTGAATGAAACATTATTACTTGAAGAATCTCATTGTCCCAATTCATTAGCCTATATTCTTGCATTGCACTTCTTCGGCTCCTAACTGAGATTGATGTGAGAAGAAATAAAAACTAAAAAAGGGTTAAGAATGTGTTGTAAGCATGAAAAACATTTTTCGACTAGATTGGATTTGGAAGCATTTGCAAAAACTCAATGGGATTTGACAATTATACATTCCAGAAACAACACTATAAACGCCGAAAATTCCATGAGTTTTCAACAGAGAATCTCGAGATCAAGGCTAAGAAGTGCATTTCCAAAACAGATTATGGAAATAGCAACTCAACTAGGTAGTTCAAGCTATGTTATAAACACCTTAAACCACACAAGTCAAAAGTCAGAAAACTGTGCTTTCAAGGATTGTTGATACTCTTTAACTCAAAAAATGGAAGTCGCATAACACAATCAAATACGACGGTGAAAGATGGCCGAACAATTTGCATAACCAAAATTTCAACATTTTTATGCCTTTTTCAATAGCCAGCTCTTACAACCTCTAGACGAGCCTAATAAGCCTAACATTCAGATATCCAAAGTTCATAATTCGAAGAGAATATCATTTCTGATGGTCAAAAAATTCAAGACAAATTCACGTTCCCTTTTTCTGTTGATATAATTCATCACTAAAAGAATACATTTTTAACAAACACAAGGAACATGCATTTCACCAATAATTCCAGAAAACAAAACAAAATCTAAAATAGCCCTTAAATTCAGTTCTCGATTCTTTGATTCTTTTCAATTTCTAAGCAATGGATAACTCTTTAAAGAAAGAAATATAACTCACAGTATGAAGCATGACGTCCAACCAAGGCGAGGACTTGAGAGGGCTGACGCTGTTTTCTCCTACCAGTACTATTCTCACCGGAGTAGCACTTGGCTCCGTTGTTTTCACAGCTTCTTCATCTTCTTCATCTTCAGTAGAAGTAGCTTTGAAATTATCAGTAGTGCTAGTGTTTAGAGGAGCAGGGGAGAATGAGATGATGCCTGCTCTTTCCCAGCTGAACTGAAGGGGGGATAGCCGGAGCTGGATGAACGGAGTCTGGAATCCGGTGAAAGTTGGCCGGCGGTTGAGAATGACCGTTGCAAATGGCGCCAGATGAAGATTGAGAATCATGGTGGTTTTGGTAGTTGGTCCAGCGGTTAGTTCTTGGAGACCCTTGTTCACAGTTGAAGTATAGAAAAATCATGCTTAATGATTCTTTAGGATTCCTGGATCTACAATTAATGGTACATGAATTCGAGTAGAATATCCGTTTAGAAATATTAATCTAAAGATGACAGCAAATTTGGTTAAGCATTTGGTTCGGTGAGAAGATGGATGATAGCTATTGTGTAGTTAAGTAGGTACATTGAGGAATTACCCATTCAGTCCAAACATTTTAGATCAGTTGCCAGAAAGAATGAGGAATTACCAATTCTTGTTATCGTGAATAGTACAATTGCCAAATTTATGAGCATCCAAGCAAGAAATTCTACAAAAGGAAGAAAGAAAGAAAGAAATGACCCCAAAAAAAAAATCATGAAATGGGATTAATTTTGTTGCTTGTGTCCTTATATTAAAAGAGAAAATGACCAAAGTTGTCTGTGATATTTTGAAGAAGTCCTACTTTAGTCATCATATTTAAAATAAAAACAGTCCTTTACATATATAAAATGTATCGTTTTCGGTCCTACATCCCATTTCCGGCTAAATTTTTTATTAAGAAAAATGAAATAGGATTAATCTCGTTCCCTATTTGATGCTTATAATTATATAGCAGATGCATACAATAATGTGCATGGTCGGTATAATTAATATTACAACAAAAGAACCCTTACCGTCCAATTCCGAATGCCATCGGTTATCTCTCTTAAAGCTCCATATTTATTAAGTTTCGTTAATTATTAGCATAAAATAAAGAGATACTTTCAGAAACCTTCCCTGAGATTTCTGACAATTTCACTGAACTCCCCTAAGGTTTGAAAAATTACACTTACCTCTCTTGATTTGACAGTTTTAGTAACAAAACTTTAAAATGATATTGACTTGGACAATTTTTTAAATGAATATCCAAAAATGCCCTTGTGGAATGAGTTTTAATTTATTTCCTCATACAATTATAAGATTATTTAGTATAATTATAAGGAAAAGATGCCAAATTTTTCATGTCCATATCTACTGTTTGATAAACAACTATAATAATAATTTTATTGTTATGATATGATATTTTATTATGGATTTAGTTTTATAAGATAGAAAAGAAAATGTTGAAATAATTCACTTAGAGTTTATAAAATTTTGGATTAGTAGGATTATCATAATTTAGCAGTGCTTTTGGGCTATTTCTTTTTTATTTATTGTTAATTTTAATACCAAAAAATAAAAAACAAAGTTCAACAAAAATATTGGATTGCATATAAAATTAACTCATCAAAAAAATCACTAGTTCGATATTTAGTTATAATAGAAACCTAGAGGCAATAGTGGTAGTTCTACAATTTTATTGGCAAAAAATTAAAGAAAAGGAATTTAAAAGAGAATTTTATTAAAATACTAGGAAGAGAGAGCCCGTGCAATGTGCAGAAGTTGAGTGCTTGTGATTGAAGGTAGTGAATAATTATGGTATGGAGATAGTTTTATAAATATTGTTTGATGATGTAATATATCTCCACTTGAATAAGAAATATAAGTAAAATTGTGCAGAAACTGTGGCATCATTGTTTAATGAATCATTTGAGTTGATGTTTTAAAACGGAACTATGAATAAACTGCAAATGTAGTTCATGAAGATAAACTAAATCCAGAAGCAATGAAGCAATCGTTCACCATTCACCATGATATTAAGATGGTAACCAACAAGGATTTCACCTAATTTTCTAAAAGATTTTCTCAGCAACTCATATATCATTAAAGGATATTAAGATCAGTCTAGTAGTTCATGTCCAAGTTATTCAATAGGCAGGAAAAGTAAAGTTAGTAGGAAAAGAATCCTAAAACACATACCGTAAGTTCCATTCCATCGTGTAGGGTAGCATTCTATAGTAGAGGAGTATAGCTCCTTTGTGCCAAGTTTCATAAGTTCTAGCTGTAAATTATATGCTTTGCGGTTGCTAAAATTTATAGGTTTTTATAACAAACAACTTGCATTTGATCTATCGTAGAAATTTTTTGTAGCGGATACCAATATTCACATATATATATATATATATATATATATATATATATATATATATATATATAAGATGAAGAGAATCTAACGAAAGAAGGTAAAGAAGTAGTCATTAGAATAGGTCTGCGTAACAGTCGAAAGCTATTACTCAAAAATAATGAGATATTAATTCAATCACTAAACGGCAAAAAAGGCATTACTCTTACATTTAATGATGAAAACAACATTTAAGTAATTACAACAAAATGAGAGTTAGAATGACTTGTACCCAATGCTTCAATCATAGTCCAAATATTCTCATATTTCTAAACTTCTTTTAACCTTAAATGTCTAAAAGGTTATCTCAGTGATTACAACAAATTTAAAACTGTCATGACTTGTACCCAATACTTTAACGATACTCCAAATATTCTTATATTCCCAAACTCTTCCTAGCCTTGCGGTTGAAATTCAAACACAATCTTTAATGAGAACTCATTCTCGTATTTCCAAATTTCTCTCAACCTTAAATGTCTAAAAGGTCATCTCAGTGATTAGAACAAATTTAAAACAGTCACGACTTGTACCCAATACTTTAATGATACTCTAAATATTCACATATTCCCAAACTCTCTCTAGCCTTGCGGTTGAAATTCAAATATAACCTTTGACCACAACTCATTTTTATGTAGTATAAGGATATGTATTAAGATGGTAACCAACAAGGATTTACTCTATTCTAAAGGATTAATCTTTCCTACACTGACAGTGTATACACTATCAGTATTGGATGAATGACAACTATGTAAAATTTGAATTTGAAATTCAATTTTTGCACACATGTCATGAATATAACGATGATAGTGTATACACTGTCAGTGTAGGAAAGATTTACTCTATTCTAAAGGATTAATCTTTCCTACACTGACAGTGTATACATGACAGTGTGGGAAAGATTCATGACATGTGTGCAAAAATTGAATTTCAAATTCAAATTTTATATAGTTGTCATTCATCCAATACTGATAGTGTATACACTGTCAGTGTAAGAAAGATTTACTTTATTATAAAGGATTAATCTTTCCTATACTGACAGTGTATACACTATCAGTATTGGATGAATGACAACTATGTAAAATTTGAATTTGAAATTTAATTTTTGCACACATGTCATGAATCTGACGATGATAGTGTATACACTGTCAGTGTAGGAAAGATTTACTCTATCCTAAAAGGTTTTCTCAGCAACTCATGTATCAATAAAGGATATTAAGATCAGTCTAGAACTTCATGTCCAAGTTATTCAATAGGCAGGACAAGTAAAGTTAGTAGGGAAAGAATCCTAAAACACATACCGTAAGTTTCATTCCATCATGTAGGGTAGCATTCTATAGTAGAGGAGTATATAGTGGCGGAGCTAGGAATTAACTTTGGGGAGGGGGCGAGTCTATAGCAATGAAAGTGAAATATATTTACGAAAAAAATAATGTGAACATATATACCACAAGATTAAAAACAACCTTATATAGAATGAAAATTACTTATACGCTTCACATATACAAAAATATCATCATATTTACAAATCTATTTGACTGTGTAGGACATATGAAATTGTGCACGACGACTTTTAATTTTATCAAAGTCATCAATGATTGAATTTATATCAAAAGTTCTAGCAATTTCTTTCTCAATATACATTATCATCGAGTTAGCAAGAAAGTCTTCCTCCATCCTAGAACGCAAATAAGTCTTGATGATTTTCATAGCAGAAAATGCACGCTCTGTTGTAGCTGTTGAAACAGGAAGAATCAAAATAAGACGAATCAATCTATCAATAAGAATATAGAACATTGACTTTCTTGTCTTTGCTAACACTTGGCACAACTCCTGAAGTGATGACAAATTTTAAAGCTGAGAATTACAGGAAAACTCAATCTGGAAAAGCTCTAATTGAGTTATTAAGTGTAACTTCTCTTGATCTGTGAAGTCAACTGAATAAAACTTGTTTGCAAGTTGACAAATTTGTTCAATATTGAAAGCCTAAAAATTATCTTTGGGGTGCAATGCTGAACTAAGAATAAGCAGCTCTATTACATCTTCCTTAAACCTATTCTTCATTTCAAGTATTTGAGAATCAACCGTTGCCAAAACACATCAATCCTGTAGTGATGCTCTATGGTAATTGGATCATTTTGTTTTCGAATTATTCCTCGACATGCTTTATAAATGACATTCATATCAGACATCTCTATATTTCGTGCATCACAAAATGTCTTTACATTGGTGAACAATTCATTCCATCCATTATCTCTGTAACTTTGAAGTCGATCCTTTGTTACTGAAACCAATTTAAGGGCATTCAAAATATCTTGAGATTTGCATTGTAAAGCTTGAGAAAGTACTTGTGCAAATCCTAAAATGTCCCTCATCATATGCATAACAAGAACAAAATCAAAGGATGTCATGAAATCGTAAACTCTGTCAACTTCACTTCTTTGAGTTGATGTATTTCCATAATTGATAACATCAATTAGGACAGAGCAAATTTCTTCATATTCTGTGAATAAGCTACAGATAGAACTAAAATGAGACCCCTATCTTGTAGTCCATGGCCATTTTAAGGTACCAATCCAATTCTGACCCCTACCAGTCTCAAGTTCATCAATAGCAATCAATTCAGCAATTCTAGTAGCTCTAGCAACTCTAAGTTGGTCCACACGTTTGCAAGAAGATGAAATTAAATTTATAAGAAAAGGTAAGTATGTAAAGAATTGTTCCACAGGAATTACCTCTTGAGATGTTGCTACCAATGTTAATTGCAATCGATGAGCAAAACATTGAATATAACATGCATAGGGGCACTCCTGAATAAATAATGCTTGCAGTCAATTCCATTCTCCACGCATGTTACTAATTCCATCATATCCTTGGCCACGAATATTTTGCACACTAAGATTATGGCGAGAAAGGACATCACATATCTCCTTCTTCAAAGTCAAGAAATTGGTTTCGTGCACATGAACAATGTCAAAAAATCTTTCTCGAATATAGCCTTGCTTGTCCACAAATCTAAGAACAATAGCCATTTGCTCCCTTTTTTATCTATCTTGAGCCTCATCAACAAGTATAGAAAATTTTGAAGTTGAGGGAGTTGAGAGTTGAGAAGTTGGGAGTTGAGATTTGAGGCTTTTCTGTAAGAAGGAAATAAAAGGTGAATTGGTGAAAAACGGCAATTGTCAAGTTCAGAAAATAGTAGGTAAGTTATTTGGATCAAGTCTGTTATTCTCCGTTAAGAAAATAGTGGCAATTCTCTATTATTTGGACCAAGTCCAAATAACTTTCAAACATTATTATTTGGGCCCTTGGGGGGCAAAGTGAATATTTTGATCAATTTTGGAGGGGGGGCAAAACATAATAATAAAAAAAATTTTACTTAGAAATTTTTTTTTAACAATTGGAGGGGGGCGACCCCTCCGTCCCTGGGAGTATAGCTCCTTTGTGCCTAGTTTCACAAGTTTCAGCTATAGATTATATGCTTTTGCGGTTGATAAAATTTATAGGTTTTTATAACAAACCGCTTTGCATTTAATCTATTGTAGAATTTTTTTGTAGCGGATACCAATATTTACATATATATATATATATATATATATATATATATTGAAGATGAAGAAAATCTAACGGAAGAAGGTAGAGAAGTAGTCAGTAGAACAGGTTTGCGTAACAGTCGAAAGCTGTTACTCAAAAATAACGAGATATTAATTCAATCACTAAATAGCAAAAAAAGCATTACTCTTATATTTAATGATGAAAACAACATTTAAGTAATTACAACAAAATGAGAGTTAGAATGACTTGTACCCAATGCTCCAATCATAGTCCAAACATTCTTATATTTCTAAACTTCTCTCAACCTTAAATGTCTAAAAGGTCATCTCAGTGATTACAACAAATTTAAAGCTGTCATGACTTGTACCCAATGCTCTAACGATACTCTAAATATTTTCATATTCCCAAACTCTCTCTTGCCTTGCGGCTGAAATTCAAGCATAACCTTTGACCGCAACTCATTCTTATATAGTATAAGGATTTAAGGGTAAAATTGTTATTTTAAATGACAAGGGAGGTATATGTAACTTTTCAAATCTCAAGGGAGCTCAGTGAAATTGTTAGAAAGCTCAGGGGAGGTTTCTAAAATTATCCCTAAAATAAATAGCACTCTTTAAGTTAGCTTGTTTAACATATTTAATGTGGTAGTTTCTTGTGGTTGTGGAAACTTATTCCAGCCTCTCTAATTTATGCTTAATTAACTATTGGCTTCTGGAAAAAGGAATGGCGATCACAAAGACATTAGTCATGTGACTCATGCATATGCAACAGTTTACGTAGGTGTCTATTTCTGCAATTTGAATTGTACCCGTCTAAGTTAAACAAAGTTTCTTCACTCACATCAAATTAAAAAGTGATTGACAGGGTGTCGAGCCTGTGCAATAATAATTACCTACTCGAAAAAAATACAGATTTTGTATATAGCGGTGAGTAGAGTCGAATCCACAGGGACTGGAGATAATTCGTTTCTTCTAAAGTTCAGTGCATGGGGGATTTTTGGAAAATATAAAATTACTAATTAACTAACTAATGAAACAACTAAAAGAAATAAATAGGAAATAATCAATAACCAATACGACTCTAGCCAAAAATGCAACTTTTCAGGCACGGTCCATTCAACTGATCATCGATACAAAGATAATTCAATTATTCATTAATAAATTGGTTATAGTTGTCATATACGCGATGAACAACCAGCCTTTTCTTAATTTCTCGATAGTTAAGGTACGACCGTTAACTATTTCTCTAACCAAGAAATAACTCTAGGTAAGACCATAGGATTTAATTACTCGATTGCATTAATAATTAGAAAAGCCCAATCCTATCCAACAACACGCTACGAGAGTTTGTTTAAATTAAATCATACGTTTCCCTAACATGAAACTAATCACGCTAGTCACCACTGGTATTAATCAATTGAACAATTACGGATTCAATCAATTAATTTGGCATTAGATCATCAGGTTAATTCGAATATTGAGCCCTTGACATTCAAATAACATAACAAACATAAGCAATTAAATCAGGAAACGTACAAATACCAATGAATAAAAAAATTAATAAAATTAATTCGATCTCACAGATATTTGGAACCACGCCTTCAAATTAGCCTTCGACTAGATGAGAAACTTAGCCATGCTTCATGAGAAATTTTTCAAATAATTTAACTGAGATTCAGGCCATCAAAGGAACTAAGAAAGAAAAAAAAAACTAAACTATGCTAAAAGCTCTCCGTAGCCTTTCTTACAATTGTCCTTATATAGCCAAAAGAAAATGACTAAAGCTATCTATCCAGTGGTCCCCACAAATAAGGAACAAAAACAACTCTCTGCACGTTTGTTTCCTTCAATTCAAATGACTAATGCCTTTCTTCTCTCCGTGGTCCCCGCACAAATTGAGAGTCCAATTCCCACAAGTAAGCTCCAGCCGAAGTTTTCTCTTTTCGTTTCCTCTTGCTCCTCAAAGACTTCAACTCCTAATCAGCAAAAAGGAAATGCCATCCGTCTGCTTTGTGAAGCTTGTTTGGAGTCTCCCACATGTGGAGCAATTTTCTCCAACAGGTCCCCCCTTTTTAGCACTTTTTAATTCCATTTCCTGTAGATAGGTCCAAATACCAAATATAAGTATATATTAACAATTTAAAACAATATTTAGTAAGGACAAAGGGAAAATTAATAATAAAAATAACCAACAATTAACACCCTATCAATTCCCCCCACACCTGAATCATGCTTGCCCTCAAGCATGAGAACAGCATTTGAATACCAAAATTTTAATAATGGCTATCGCTCCAACTACCGTATTGCCAAGATACCCAGAAAAATATATATTAAGCATCACAGGTTAAGATCCAAGAAAAACCACCCCGGTTAGCTTCCCAACCACCAACTTTTCCAATTTAAAGCAAACTAATCAAAGAAAAAAGAATGGTTGCTCACATTTATCAGCAAACGGTCCAATTATTAACCAAAATCTCGACATTAAGATCACAAATAGGCAAGTTGACTTTTTTTTTTCTCTTTTTTTTAAATACTAACACAAACTTCCCTTTATTTTTTTTTCTTTTTTTTTCACATTCTTCCGTTTTTCTCTCTCCTTTTTTTTTGAATAGTAACAAAAGATTTAGTCTCTAGCCATTGGAGCCTTTTGACGCGGACTCCAACATTTGTCAGATGAAGGAGCCCGGTTACTCAACCCCCATCGCTATATGACCACGTACTCATAGAAATCATTATCTTTTGATGCGAGAGTCGACACTTTAAGTGAAGATCCCCGGTTACTCAATAGTGATAACTAGCGGAGCACAACCAACTCTAACCATATAGCACAATAACTAAAAACAACACAAAAATAACAGCAGTCAGCCCCAAATTTCCAAACATGGAGAACCAAAATTAATAATTGGACCAATTCACATGAAAAATGCCAACAATCATTCCCTATATCTAGAAAAGTTAGGCAAAAATTAGAGAAGTCAAGCAATTACTGATATTCACCAGAGAGACGTTCCTGAATTCAACCCCATTAACTTGATACTTTTTTATTACTAAAACTCGGCAATATCAGAATTAGAGACAAAAATCCAACATCAAACTTGGTATTCAAATAAGAACTGACCACTAGGAAGAAAAAAAAAAAGAAAATAAACGAAAAGGAGATAAATATCAAACTAAAAACAAGGAAAAACACCTAAAAATTGAAAATTGAAAATACTAGCACCCAAACTGACCCCCTCACACCTAAATCACACATTGCCCTCAATATGATAAATAAACAGTAATAGTAAGCAAAAGAGCAACGGTATTTCCCTGAAATCACAGGGATCATGGCGGGGCCACAGCAATGGGTGAGGCGGGAAATGGTTAAGTTAGGTTGGGGTAGGCTAAGGTCGAGAGGTTCCGGGCCTAGAAGAGAACTTTGATCTCACCATTGTCGCTAACAGGTAATCCAATCAACAGAAACAAAATTGCCAACATATAGAGGAACCAGTAAATGCAGATCAGTAGAAATCAATATCCTCTAGTGAAGTCAACAATTAACCCAATAAGCACAGGTATCTCCCAATTCAAAAGGGTAGTGCATAATAAATGGCCCACCAAATTAGCAATTTAAGCCCAACAATTCAATCAGTACCAGAAAATCACTCCAAACAATGTAACAGTTAAACTCCACGGGCAAAGGCTGTCCAACCAATTTCACTCAAGCAAACTAGGAGTAATGCGACTGATTAAACAAAGCAACAAATTTTAGCAATTGGACACATATCCACCCAAAATCCCAACAAATGCCCCCAAGAATTCAGCAAGTCCAGTAATAGCAGGTTAGAATTTAGGCAATAACAACTTAGTCACAAGCTCTGAGCTTTCAATCAAGCAGCCAACCAAAGAGAATGAATAAATGTTAGGCAAACTATCACAACCAGTACCACTGGTATACGCACAGAGAAGAATTAAATCAAACGGCAAACTCAATTCACTAAGAAACCCCAAACAATCACTAAACAGCACTAGAGATGAAAATGGGAAATAGTTGGCCAACAACTCCCAAAGCAACTCCAAACACCTCCCAAATAAATGAAATGTCAGAGGAGCCTTTAAAAATCAAATACCAACAAATGCCACAGAAGCTCCTAAATAGTTCAACGGGAAGGGGAAAATCAAGCAAACAACTTCCTGTTTTTATCCAACAAGAAACCCACTAAAAAGGCACAAATTTCAGCAAATGAGGGTTCAGGGAAAATACTAAACGGGGGGGAAATTTCAATACCTCCACCTGTCAATTTTTGACAGGTGGTGACGGCGCGTGGGGCAGCGATGGGCGGCGCGGCAAGGACGGCAGCAACGGCACTGCGTTGGCGATGAAGGGAGAGAGAGGCATCGCGGGAGAGGCGCAGGCGTTCAGCGTGGCTCTGTGGAGGCGCGCGGAGGCAGTCGTGCGAGGTGAGAGAGGAACGTGCGATGGCACGTCAGCTGCGGGA